ACAAAAATACTAGGGAAGAATATCAAGCTAAACTCACAATCTTCCACCTTCAAGGGCAAGCGCTCACATGGTTCATTAGACTAGAACAGCATAGCGGTCAACTACAATGGTCCGAATTCGCAACAGCAATTAGCAAAAGATTTGGTCCCCATGCCCACCACAATCATCTAGGACAACTCTCTCATACAAGACAAATGGGAGAATATATTAGATGACTACAACAACTGCTTTACTCTAAACCTGACAAAGGTACCTAGACTTTCCTCATCTCAGCAGGTGATGTTATACACAGTAGGACTAGCTCCAACACTACGCATTGACACAGAGTTACAACAACCTACAAACCTGGAGACAACAATTATAACACTGGTAAAAAGATTCTATCTCGCCAACACAAAAATCGAGACATCAACTCCATCAACTAACGAACATTCTCACATAGAGATCTCCTTGCATGCAGTAATAGGAATTACAACGAGCCAAACAATGCAAGTACAAATCACCATCAATGGTCGTGACTTCCTCACCCTACTCGACTCTGGCTCAACACACAATTTTATAGATTCAGAAGCAGCAGCAGCACTAAACCTCAATAGAACAGAAGCACTTGACAACATCATAGTAGCAGTGGCTAACGACAATAGAATTAGCAATGCGGGAATATTCAACAACCTGACGGTACAAATTGGAACATAAACATTCAATATCGACGGTTACAACATAAAACTGGGAGGTTACGACTTTGTCCTAGGAGTCAATTGGTTAAGCTCAGTAGGACCAATTGTATGGGATTTCTGCAACCTCACGATGAAATTCTGGCATCAAGGCTAGCGGATTATGTGGACAAGCCTCAACAAACCACCAACGAAGATACCTTGCATACACACAGTCTCTACGAAACCTACATTACAATCTTTACTGGACAAATTCTCAGAAATTTTCAACGAGCTAACCAGACTCCCCCCCCAAAAGGCGATATGACCACATAATCTACCTTAAAGACCCAGGAACCCCGACAGCAGTCCGACCATACAGATACCCGTAGATCAAAAAAATGAGTTGGGAAAAGCAATGTCAAATGATGCTACAATAAGGAACAATTAGATAACTACTAATTTTTGACCCTATCGCATCGCTTCGCTTGCATCAAATGCAAATCTAATGCAATAGTTTGCTGCTATTACATCAATTTTGCAAATCTGATGCCATAGGTAGTCATTATTGCATCGAGAAGACATTGGATGCGATAATAATTCGTGTCTATGCAATAGGTATGATCTATGCACCAATTTCGAACAAGAGATGCAATAGGTAGAAATCAGACAAGTTTGGTTGCGTCGCTATTGATTTTTTATGCAATATGTAGGTGGTATTACACCGGTTTAGAATATGGGTGCAATTAGGAAGCACTGTTACATCGGACTGATAGTGATAAAGTTTGATGCAATAAGTGATTGCTATTGCAGTTTGATGGATGCCACTAGCAGGGAATATATATTCCATTTTTCACACTTATTTATATTGGCTCAGAAATATTTAGTGCCTCCAAACTGAAAAGAAAATGTGTTACAATGTATGTGTGTAGAGGAGGCAAAAGAAGCACCTAATGATGATGACTTTGAGTTCGTTTTTGAGCTGGACACTCAGGCTATTGACGACGGTCAAGCCACCGCTAACCTCTATGCCGACCGCTCTCGAACCCTCATCAAGCTCGCTGAACACAATGGTGCGTGAAATCCTCCCCTTCAGATCTAGCTTTCATCTCTCTCCCATAAAATATAATATGGTTTGATCCTACCTTTCTAAGAGCTAACCTTCTCAAATGGTCAGTGACATATTTATTTTATTTTTTTGGGTATTATTTTGTAGAAGAGAATAAATTTTCACTTCTCTCCGATTTAATTTCTGTTTATAGTGTTGTGTGGTATATGCTTAAAGATAAAAGCTGCTCTTGAACAAGTCTCACCATATAGACCTGGATCTGGTGATCCTCGCTTGGGTACCTTATCAAAGAGATGTGATCAACGCATTGCTGGTGAGAGTAGAACCTTAAAGCTACCAGTTGCCTTATGTATTTTGGTCTATGAAATGTTTTCCCCTTTCATCTTTCCAATTCTAGCGTGATTCAAATTATTATCTGTGGCTACATATTTCATTTGTCACGCGTATTATCTTGTTAGCCTATCTATAAAATGAAGAATAAAGATGCTCGAGTCATTTAATACTCACTACCGTGTGTTATCCAGAGGACATCAAGAAAAATGTTTTGAATAAAAAGAGTTATCTAGAGGAGATCAATAAGAATGTTCTGAATAAGAAGAGTACAAAATGTGGAGAAGCTTCAAGCCAACCTACGCAGGTAATTAAGGAACAACTTATAAATAATGCTAATGTTTCCTTTACCCAAATAAGCATACTACCATCTTATTCTAATAGAGGAGCCATACACAAAAGAGAAATGCATATTGTAGAAGATTAGAGAGACACCTCACACCCATTAGGCATGGGTGACTTTCATATATATAGCCACAAGGCCTTTAGTATATTTAGAATTAGACCCCTAGATATATACATATCTAACACCCCTGCAGTCATAGCGGGAGGTTCACACACGTATAGACTGGACTAAAATCAGTAAATAACTATACATGTAGACCTTTAGTCATGATATCCGCGAACTGATGCGAGGACGACACATGTAGGACACGAACTTCACCAAGCGCGACCTTCTCGCAGATGAAGTGAATGTTGATCTCGATGTGCTTGGTCTGGCGGTGATGAGCGGGGTTAGCTGTCATGTAAACAGCACTGACGTTGTCACATAAGACAACCGTGGTGGAGGGTAGAGGTAGATGGAGCTCCCGGAAGCAAAACCAGCACTTGGCGACGACACAGTACTCCGCCTCAGCACTGGAGCGAGAGACGGTGGTCTGACGCTTGGACGACCAAGACACTAGGTTGTCTCCAAGGTAGACGTAGTAGCCCGACGTGGAGTGGCGGGAGTCGGAGCAACCTGCCCAGCCTGCATCTGAGTATGCTGTGAGAGACTGGATAAGACCAGTGGCAATGTGTAGACCTTAAGAAAGAGTGCATTTGACATAGCGGAGAATGCGCTTGACGAGGACAAGGTACGGCTCCCGGGGTCGTGCATGAAGAGGCACACCTGTTGGACCGTATAGGCCAGGTCGGGGCGGTAGCGCTTGTCCAAGGGTGGTGGTGCTCGGTGCTCCAAGTCGTTTTTGCTAGTTCTCTTCTTAGTTAGAGCTATGTTTAGTTGCTCTAGTGGTTAGATAGTCCAGATGCTAGTAAGGTCGTTTTTTTGACCATGTTGGTTCACGTTGGCATGTAGTCGGGCGGTGCACTCTCCCAGTTGATGATTTTTTGGTCCGGTTTCCACTTAAAAAAGCTAAATCGACACTTATTTTCCTATTTTCTACGTCTAACATAAATCATGGTAAAACTTTTTCCATCCTAAACGTCCCTGTTTGTTTTGCTGAAAAGTCAGGCTGAAAAGAACTATTCACTGATTTATTGTGAAAAAAAATACTAAACCGAGCTGACAAGTTCAAGCCTATGCATAGTGTTGCGAGGCTCCCTCCCTCGGGAGAAAAAACAAAAACAGGGTGGAAACTGCAGCTCTGGTATGCACATGGACAACGCGACAAAGACCTGTTGTCAACGTTAATCGAAAGAAAAAGGTTTTCCAGAAGCTGAAATCATTTTCTTGACAATATACTACTAGTGGCCAGCGTTCAACTCTGAACAATGTTATGAAGTCTGAACATTTCTTCAGAGTTTCAGACATCTTAAATCCATCCAAACAATCGATCAGATTGCCCCGCTTCTTCTTCAATCTGATCGCGCGATCAACTCGCCATCTCTGTTATGGTCACCATCTTCTTTCCCTCCTTCCCATTCTGTTATGGTCGCCATTTAGCATCTAGCAGACTCACCACCACCCATACCAGGCCACCGCCCACCAGTCCCTCGAGATCAAAATCAGTCCCCACCAGGCAGGGGCAATCGGCTCGGCGGCACCATATAGGCAGATTAGCCTCCCCTCGGCGACCCGTTGGTGGTGGAGAAGGAGAAGGAGAAGGGCAGATCCGCCACTTGTCCCCCGCTCGCAGAGCCCGTCAAACCCCGTCGCCACGCGTAGTAAACGAGGACCTGCTTGCGCTGCGTACACCGTACGATCTCTCACGCTTTTTTCATGCTCTGTAGCGACGATCTTGTGTTAAGTTATTACATATTAGTCGATCTAATTTTAGGTTTACATTACATGCTGGTCAATCTAGACATTTTGTGAAGCCGGATTCTATCGGATTAAGTTAAGAGTTGTTGATTCATTGGGTAGAATTGAGATTGGTAGCAAAAAAAAACTAATGATCATTAGTTCATTACCCTTGGGTGTGGGGTGGAACGGGAGTTGTTTTAATCTACCAGCAGGAGAAAACGCCCCTAAATAAATAAACTGCTGCATTTGTATGTATTTCAGTTGAACTGAGAGTATTTGTTTTATGAATTTGTGACATCTGGTTACTTGTATAATATCGCACAATGATTGTACTCAAATAACGATTTGTTAGATCTGTACTCATCGTGCTGCTTTCTCCTTTTTAGGCGTAATTGGCTGTGGCAGGTGCTGCTGAGTCTGCATATGCAAAAACTCTGCAAGACCCCCAATGTTTTTGTTCTTGGAGGAGTTGCCCAACACCACGCCATTAGAAGAGTCGATCCCTGACAGTGCACCAACAATGCCACATGAAACCATTGGGAGCTCATCCAGCACTTCCACATCCACTTGTCAGAAGCCTGTGGCAGCTGCTGCTGATTCCACATATGCTCCAGGTCTGCAGGAGCCAGATGGTCCATCCTTGGATGAGTTTCTTGACAATTCATCTGGGCAGAAGCTTGTAGAAGGTGTTGTTTGATCTTTGGAGAAGTTGCACGACACTAGTACATCATATGAAGAATCAAACATCGCCGACCCGCAGACAATGACGCAGAACACCATTGATGGTTCATTGAGAACATTACCCTCCAGGTCTGAAAAGTTTGTGGCGGGTGCTGCTGACTCCACATCTATACTAACTCTGCAAGAGCCAGATGTTTCCTCATCGGACGAGTATCTTGACAGTTCATCAGAAGAGTTGATCACTGCCAGTCCACGGACAGTGCCGCTTAACACCATTGACGACTCTCCACCAACTCTTGGGCCTAACATTTTGATCTACTATCCTGCAAACTCATTTGAGGTGTTCTACATTAGGATTGACAGGAGGGGATCTATCTGGATATACCCTAATGTGGGTGGACCGTTTCAGAGCATAGATGAAACTGAAAATGCTATCATTAGCTTCCTTGATTTATGGCAGTGTGAAACAAGGTAAAGTTTCTGGACTTCGTTCTAGTTCGTTTTATCTCCATTACAAGCAATTGTTGTTGATTATTGAACTCAAACAGGATTAGTACAACAAAGGGAGGTCCTAATTCGTTAAGTAGTGAGAATACCTGTAGTGAGAAGTGGTACTTGGTTCAAGCTATACTGGACCAGTTTAATGACCAAAACAATCTTTTCGGGGTCTGTCTCTCTGTCTCTGTCTCTGTCTCTGTCTCTGTCTCTCTCTCTCTCCGTCTCTCTCTCTCTCTCTCTCTCATGCTACAGTTTTCTCTTCTTATACTAGAATCTTGCACATGAACTGGAAGATCTTTTGAGGAAACAAATCATTTATGAGAACCACAGGTGGTATTATCATTTCAATTTCACAACAAAGCAGAAAGAAGCTGATGATGACCATAGCACTGGCAACAAACTATTCTTTGCTGAAGTTTCGCATATGCAAGGAAAAAAGGTCTGGGAGGTCAACTGTTGCTGCATGATCGAATTTGTATCTAAGGGTATCCCACACTCTTATCTTAAATTAACCTCTACATACTCGTCATGGTGGTTAGGGGTTCAGTTATAGTTTTACTTCAAATACATGGTCAAAAGAAATATTTGTTTAATATATGTATATTCTGAAGTGCATTCCTTCATGTGGCCTTTTGCTATGGTCACACTTTTGCAACTCAAATCGAGAGACCCTGCATGTATGTATCTGACAATAGCTTATGTTGGCACATAAAAATTTTCAAAAATACAGGTTCTGCTTTTGCTAGCTCATCTGTTACATATGTATATGGTTGTAAATTTGTTGCTTGTATATTGAGTGCAGACCTTGCAGTTTATAATCATGTAATATCTTTAACTGTTTCATGCAGATGACTTGTACTTATTGCGTATATACAATTTTCCTTACCTTAAATTACTTGGGTAATTAACATCTGGTTGTGCATGGTTGCTGATCTGGCGCTTACTCTTCTATTAGATGTAGATCTTTTTTTGGCTAAATATAGAATGTGATTTGCAATTCCTATTATTCTAACAAGACAGTTTGTTTGTTTGCCTGTCGTGTTATGTTTTAGTGGTTTATTATTCATATGTAACCCTTGCAGTTTAAGTTCGTGCGTTATCTTAAACTGCTATACATTTTTCTCTACCCTGAATTAGTCGCTACTATTAACATCTGTTTGTGCATGGTTGGTGATATGTCTGTTTCTTGCCTTATTTCTTTATGATGAAGGTGGCCATTGTTTTGGCTGTAAAAACAATGGAAGTCCTGATATGCTGCACCCGGTTGAGGCTGATGCATACACTGGTGGTCACTTGGATGGATATTTACCATTTGATTTTGATGCATTAAGCAGCTCTGATGATGACGTATGGTGATTCAGTTTCCTGTTTTTGTTCAGGTCATAATTTAACATTTTTGCTACTTTGTTGCTAACTGCATGTGCTTCCCCTTATTATTCTATAGGACGGTGAATATGAATATCTATATAAAGATGAGGATGAAGAGGATGAAGAGGAAGAGTTTGAGGTATGGTTAGGCTGTATCTTCTGTGATATATGCTACCTCCAGTGAAGAAAACATGATTTTCCAGACAGGCAAAACAGATTGTTTTCCTTGTCTTAATGTGAAGTTACTTTACTGGAAGTAGTGTATTGTAGTACTAGTGTGCTGTTTCTTACATGATGATTACTGAGTTTTTCTTTACTCTATTGGGTTCCTGTGTTGTTTCTTACTTAGTTTTTCTTTAGTTTATTTATGTCGCAAAGCAAGCGCAATGAAAGGCTAACTAGTGCACTAAAACATCTGTAATATTAATCTGTTTTTAAGCTTTTCTGATCTCTGCCGATTATACTGTCAGTTGAATTACTTTTGTTACTGCTTCAGATGAAATGCCTTGTTGGTCTGGGCCAATTATGATATCTACTCTTGGATGCATCACGTAGAGTGTGTCAGTATATTACTATGTACACAGTTTTAACCTATCCTAGTAGCCACTCCAGCTGTTTGCCTTCCAGTTTGTTTGCCAAACAAATGTGCATGCTATACAGTAACTACAGCCATGCCTTTGTTTTTTGTACTACCTCCTGTCCTTCAAGTGCTGATGGCATGATTATTCTTAGTGACCTTTCTTGATTTCATACATTCATCTAGGCTTCTTGTTGAATTGACTGGTATATGTTTGTGGTTCCGCAGCGTTGTTTGAGGTTCTGATTTGTCATCTTGGAATTTGTAAGTAACCACCGAAAATTTAGTGGTGGCCGCCTGGCCGGGGGAGGGAAAGAGAGGGGCTGGGACAGAACCTTCTATATCGTTAGACTTGGGAGTGTCATCGTTCTGTAGTGGTCTAGCGCACATATACTGTGCATTCAACATAAAGTCAAGAACTAAGGCACAACATCAAGGTTCGCTTCGCTTTTCTAGCTTGGCGTTACAAACTTACAATACAATACTTTGACACTGAATTATGTGCTGTCAAGTTTTCTGGGTTTGTACTAACTTCTGTAATAACTTTATCTTGGTCAAATACTTGAATATGCTGGATGTCTGGATCTTAGTTGTTCTTTTTTTAACTCCACTGTGCTTGGTGCATTGGAGGGTTTGATGCTACAAACCTACAACAACCCCTAAATTTGGAGCTGAATTGCACTGTAGGTATGGTAAACGACGGGTGTCTTTCAAGCCAGGGGCATGGCAGCCACCAACATGAATGCTAACCGGAACTCCAGCAGACATGGGCGCTATACTGCAAATGGATGCTCACAGAACGAGGAAGTCATCGAAATCATCGCCTGCTAGTTGAGGCATCTTTAGGCTTGTGATTGGCATCTTGTTGATCTTGGATATGTGCAGCTGAATCATCGACTTGCTTTGTTTAAACTTGATGCAAGTCAAGGTGCTTTGTTTAAACTTCTGTATATTTCCTAGCTCATATTGCTCTAATGAAGTCAGGAACATTAGATCAGTTGTTACTCATGATTCAGATGTCTGATATCCCACCCTTTTTTTCTCTCTTCAATCTTGATTCTTATGCTCCTGCCATCTGTAAGAAATATTCCTTTCATATTTTTTGTTGGCTTGGACTGCCTCCACGTTCTGTTGTTTACATGCAGGCATATTGGTGGTTCAGTGTCAGTGTGCAATCACACCGAAGTCCAGAATTTGCTGTTGAAGAAACTGCAAGAGTTTCTGTGATAAATTGCATGCCTCCAAATGATGGTTCTCTATCGCCCATCAGATCCATGAGTTACTAGTATAGAAATATACAAGTATGTTTTTTTGGACCTGTTATTGTTGTGGTCTGTGGAACAAATTCTGCTGTTGTGGTTTTTGGTACAGGAAAGAGCTATGTCCTCATTTCTTTTCCCAGAGAATTTTTATTCTGCTGTTGTGGTTGCGAGTACATGAAAGAGCTAGGTCTTCTTTTCTTTTTCCCCAGAGAATTTTTATTCTGCCGTTTGTGGTTTTTTTCCTGGGAATTTTTATTCTGCTGTTGTGGTTGTGGGTACTGGAAAGAGCTAGGTTCTTTTTTTTTCCCCAGAATTTTTATTCTGCTGTTGTGGTTGTGGGTACAGGAAAGAGCTAGGTACTCATTTTCTTTTGTCCTGAGAGTTTTTAAGTCTTAAGTCTCTTGTTGCCATCCTCAAGTGTCAGCGAGTCACCTATTCTTTAGCCAGTGACGTCATGCATACGCAAACTTGCACGAAGGGCTTTGAACATTATGATCGTTTATTTATTCATTCTAATATATAACGATTCATCAGGTAAGAGTGCCATGTTGCATCATCGTTATAATGGTGTTTACATATAAGAAAAATATGCAAAGGCAAAGTCGAATTCCTTATCATGAATTCACGACTGAACTTGTCGATCAATTTAAAATGGTGGCATTATTGGAATGACACGAGCAGTGTTGCCAGTTGCCACCCAGACTCCCTGGGACAAAAAAAAAAAAAAAAAAAAAAAACAAGGGGGGCAATTTCCAGCTCTGGGGACAACGTGACAAGGACCTGTGGTCAACGGTAATGGAAAGAAAAAGTTTACCAGAAGCCCAAATCATTTTCTTGACATTTACTATGTGCGTACTGACAATTTGGTATTGGTTTTCCGACCGTGTGTGGCCAGCATTTTGACAAAGTTTTGACAACGTAACCCCAACTTGAGCTGCTGTCATGCCTCCGTTCTGTTCATCGCTGAATTCCGGGTCTGGTCCGCTCTCACGGTCTAAATAAATGAACCGTATAACATGAGAAATTCTAGAGTCCGTGGTCTTCTCAAATCATGCAGGAGAGGTATAACATGAGAAATTCTGGAGTCCGTGGTCTTCTCAAATCACGCAGGAGAGCGACGTATCTTTGTCCGAGAAAGATTAATAAAGCTAAGAACTTCAGAATGACCTTTCAATGTGCCAAGTGTCATCTTTCTAGACAAAAGGAAGAGCTGGTTGTGACTTTGTGCATGCGGGTGGAAGGATTAAAACCCATACATCATGCTTGCTGCCTAGTCACCTAGACGAGCTGTTACTTTCGTCGACAGAGTTGCACGTCTGATTGGACCAAGACCAGCAGCAGATGGTGAGCAAGGCGGCGATGCAAAAGTACTCCTTTTCCCGTGCCTACCTAACATGTGCTTTGATCTCTAAAAGCGCTGGAAGCTCTCGTGTCCTCTTGTGCCATTAGTTTCTAGTGTAATTTAAGTAACTGCTTAAAAGTTAAACCTGGAATTTTTCTATTAAATAAAGGACAGTTAAATCTAATTAAGAGACGATACTCGATATGCATATGCATATATTCGCAAAAAAAAAGAAGATACGCATATGCATACTATTATGACCTGCAGCTGAAATCATTTGAATGAAAGCTCGTAAATACTATTACAACATATACAATAGATGTTTTAAACATATGGTTACACTCAAATTACATTTGAATTATTGCGTACAAAGTATCTCTCTTATTCAACGGCTTGTAATAATAATCATTGTAGAGCCTGTTTGTGTATAGATAGAAGAAACCAGGCACAGCCGCCGCCGCACAAGAAGAAAAGCCACCACAGCTTTTCAGCAAAGAAGGATATGGTGGTACTTCCTGTAATTAATAAGCAAGTTCCTAAATTTGAACGAAACGAAACGAAACCAGCAGTCAGCAGCGCACACAGTCCTTGCACCACGGAACAAGAAATCGAATATGCTCCCGCAGCCCCTCCCCGTGGAAACCAGGGCGGCGGATCGTGGAGGGACCTTCCCCTCCTCCAAGCAAAGCCAAGGCCACCGACGGGCGGGCTCCACCCGCTCAAACATCTCTCACCGCCAGGTGGCCCCCACCCCCACCCCTCCGCTGCCTCTTCTTTCTTCTACAAATAGCCCGGCCGGCCGCGGCCGCTCCCGAATCGAGAGGCGAGGCAAAAGCGCAAGCAGACGCGACCACAGATAGCGAGCGAGCGCTTCTAGGCCTTTTCGAGAGATGGCGGTCACGATCACGTGGGTGAAGGCGAGGCAGATCTTCGACAGCCGCGGCAACCCCACCGTCGAGGTGCGTTCGTTTTGCTGAGTCTTCCAGAGGCTGCTGTGAATTTGGTGATCTGTTCCGATTCGCCGCGTCGCTGTGCCGATGTGCTCCGGTTTTGTTTTCCTGTGATATGATGAATCTGGATTAACTGCTGCGCTGTGCGCAGGTGGACATCGGCCTCAGCGACGGCAGCTTCGCGAGGGGGGCCGTTCCGAGCGGCGCATCCACTGGTACGTCTGTCTGTCTGTCTGCCTCTGCTCTGCTCCATCCACCAGCGTGCTCTGTTCCTGAGCGACCGCTTGGTTTGGTTTGCTTGATCTGGTCGTGTCGAGGGATTCGAGCGGTGTCTGAGATCGTCGATGCTGTGTGGCTCTGTGACATGTATACTGTGCTTGCTTGATCTGGTCGTGTCGAGGGATTCGAGCGGTGTCTGAGATCGTCGATGCTGTGTGGCTCTGTGACATGTATACTGTGCTTGCTTGATCTGGGCGTGTCGAGGGATTCGAGCGGTGTCTGAGATCGTCGATGCTGTGTGGCTCTGTGACATGTATACTGTGCGTTTGTTGTTGGTTGTGGGGATAATAACAGACCTTCATCATGTTGAACTGGCTAGGAGTCTAGGACTGAGATGTGCGCGCGGTTGTTTTGTTGCTAGATCTGATTGATGCGTATATTCTTGTCCTAAGTTTTCAGTATGTTCTCCGCCGCCGTGACCGGCGCGTGTTCGGAACCTGCTGTTTTTTACTGCGCGAATTGAAATACTCCCTGCGAAATTATTTCTATGTTCGGGGGGTTTATAAAAATCAGCTTATTCGTTTCAAAGCAGAGCCTAAGAGTGTTTAGAAACATGTCAGCAGAATCATCACCGCCATGACATGGTCAGCTGATCTGAAAATTGCTTACCTACTGGATCTCTTAATGAAGCAGAAGGCAACCTTGACTTTTGAACTCCTGTTATTATACTGTCCACTATTAATTAGAATGTTTTTCAGATATAATGTGATTTATTTATCTATTTATTTTCAGTTACACTTCTCTGAACCTTGCTTCAATCATCGATTATAAGCATGATTTTGTTTTCAAATAACACAGAAAGAATGCAGTAAAGCCAATAGACTTTCCCCAAAGTATTCTTATCTATTGAATCAAGAAAACATATTTATATGTGATATACCATGCCATTTAATCATTTTGACATGTTAGCAACATAGAAAAAGACATACTTTTCATATTAGATATGGTATTATGTGACGTCAACATCTGCTATTTCGTTTGGAATGGACTTTTTGTGAAATTTCAGTTTGTGGTCCAGACACCTTTACATATTAGATAGTACTATGGGATGTCAGTATCTGCTATTTCGTTTGGAATGGACTTTTTTGCGAAATTTCAGTTTGTGGTCCAGACATTACTTTTTGAATAGGTTGCCTTCTGTAGTTGCCTTAAATTCCATATGTTAGACATCAGCACATAATTTTGACATTTTTATCTTTGAACAATTGACCTCTCTCAGGAATATATGAGGCCTTGGAGTTGAGGGATGGAGGATCTGATTATCTTGGCAAGGGTGTTCTTAAGGTTAGTTAACCAGCCAATTTTTCCATTTCAGTCTGAGCAAATATCAGCCTGTTCGTTTCGGCTTATTCGCTCGTATCTGGCTTATAATCCAGTGTTTTCTCTCACACCAAACCAGCCAGCAGTACTTTCAACCATGACTTATAAGCCAATTCAGCCGAAACGAACAGGCTGTATAATACTAGCTGTATTTGCCATGCACTCGCATGCACCGTAGTCATTCATGCATCCAGTGGTCATGGTTAACTTATAATAGAAACCAACATGTGTATCCTCCCCCTTTTATTTGCGATAAATTTGATTTGAGAACCTATTTGAAGGCTATGCTCTAAACTTCAGTTGACTAATGTTACTGCGTAGCTTTTGGCTTAAAATTTGAATCCACAGCTAACCTGTGTCAGTGATTGCAACCATTCTGTTTTTGATGGGTTGTTTTCTTTTTTCACATTGGACTAATAAGTTGTATTGTCTTTTGCTAGGCTGTGAGCAATGTAAATAGCATTATTGGACCAGCAATTGTTGGAAAGGTATGTATCTCAGTTCTAAAGTTACATGATTTCATTGATGTGGTTTATCTCAATTCTAAAGCTACTTTTCTATGATGTGATACCCAAAACACATGATAGCTATCTTACTGTGGTGAATTATGTTTCAGGACCCCACTGAGCAGGTTGAGATTGACAACTTCATGGTCCAACAGCTTGATGGAACCTCCAACGAATGGGGCTGGTGCAAACAGAAGGTATCATGGGGAACTTATGTTTCTAAACTTGACTTCCATCTTGCACTACTTGTATTGATTTCCTTTGATGTTGTGTTCAATCTATAAAGCTTGGAGCAAATGCCATTCTTGCGGTTTCACTTGCTGTGTGCAAAGCTGGAGCTATGGTGAAGAAGATTCCTCTTTACCAGGTCTTTCAAACATTACCGCTACGATTTATTATTATGTTGTATGCACAATTTAGAGGTGTCCTGAAAGTTTACTTATTTGCAGCACATCGCAAATCTTGCTGGAAACAAAACTCTGGTGCTCCCTGTACCTGCCTTTAATGTGATTAATGGAGGATCACATGCTGGAAACAAGCTTGCCATGCAGGTAATTCCTTGAGAAATCTGATTTTCTGACTACATGCTTCGACTATACTCTCTAATCATTTAACTGTTGTACAGGAGTTCATGATCCTCCCAACTGGTGCCTCCTCGTTCAAGGAGGCCATGAAGATGGGAGTTGAGGTGTACCACAACCTGAAGGTGAGCAACTAATGCATCTATTGATGTATCTTAAGTGTGGACCCTAGGAATATGAAGTCAGAATGCTAAATGCTTCTGTATGCAGAGCATAATCAAGAAGAAGTATGGTCAAGATGCCACAAATGTTGGGGATGAAGGTGGTTTTGCACCTAACATTCAGGTAATGTCCATATGTTTTTCTCTGCTGCTGTCATTGGCAAGCACAACAATTCTTACTTTTATATATTTTTTGAAGCTATCTAGCATATTATTTAAGATGATCAGGACATAATTCAAAAATTGGCAACTTAAGTTTTATCCAAAGATAGTGGTGCTAGCCAGTAGCCTAATTATTGCTCTATGGTTCTCTCACTATAGGAACACTATGATTTGTTTCTATGTTTAAATTAATCATCAACATCCATTTATCTCACAATCTAATTTCTATGTCAACCAATATATGCAGGAAAACAAAGAAGGCCTTGAACTACTGAAGGCAGCTATAGAAAAGGCTGGCTACACCGGAAAGGTACGTCCTCTCTTTTCTACTTGGCTCACAAACAGACAAACCTTTGTGTGTGTAGTTGATTCAACTTATCTGTGTGGCAGGTGGTCATTGGAATGGATGTTGCTGCTTCTGAATTCTTTACTGAGAAGGACAAGACTTATGATCTTAATTTCAAGGAGGAGGTAAGAATTGCAACTTCTTATTATGCTTTTATAGTTTTATTTACCTATAGCTTTATCTCTTCCTTATGTGTTATTCTATAGGGCTATATGAGCTTTTATTTTATATTAACTGTACTCACTTTCTTGGCCAGAACAACGATGGTTCAAACAAAATTTCAGGTGACAGCCTGAAAGATCTGTACAAGTCCTTTGTATCTGAGTACCCTATTGTGTCTATCGAAGATCCATTTGACCAGGATGACTGGACCACTTATGCCAAACTCACTGATGAGATTGGACAGCAAGTGCAGATTGTAGGAGATGATCTGCTCGTTACTAACCCCACTGTGAGTAACATTTTATTTAATTGATTCCCCCCTAGTTCTATGCACAACATGCAGTTCTAAACATTACCTGCTTGACCTGTGCTGTACAGAGGGTTGCCAAGGCCATCAATGAGAAGACATGCAATGCTCTTCTCTTGAAGGTAGAATCATTGCTATTTCATATCGCTAATCTTTTTGCCTGGGTAATGATTACCTGTATTGTAAGTGGCTGTTGACTAACTCCATCGCTACACGGTGACAGGTGAACCAAATCGGCTCTGTGACCGAGAGTATCGAAGCTGTTAGAATGTCCAAGCGTGCCGGATGGGGAGTGATGGCAAGCCACAGGAGGTAGCCATTGTAGTTCTTTGTTTGCTTTTGAAAACTTTAACTAACGTACCTATTTGATCTGATCTGCTCAATTGTTCTATCTTCTCTTTATTTGTTCAGTGGCGAGACAGAGGACACCTTCATTGCTGACCTCTCAGTTGGCCTGGCTACGGTACGCTGTCAACTGGCGAACATACACTTAAGATACTGTCGAATTGAACATCTTCGGTACTGACCTGGTTTCCATGACTTCGTTTCAGGGCCAAATCAAGACAGGAGCTCCCTGCCGGTCTGAGCGCCTGGCCAAATACAACCAGGTAAGCGTGCGCACCTGCTTCTTCGTTTCCCAACCAGGTTACTTACGGCTCTCGAGTCTGAACCAAACATTCGCGGTTGCAGCTGCTCAGGATCGAGGAAGAGCTCGGTGATGCCGCAGTCTACGCCGGAGCAAAGTTCAGGGCACCAGTGGAGCCCTACTAAACCACGAGTGCCCTCCCAGAGTCTGGAGAACGAAGATGAGGATGTTTCTTGTGGAGCTACTAGTTCGCTGCTGCTTTTTGATAGAATGTCTGTACGATCACAATAAAAGTATGGTCTTCTTTGCCCGAGAGCTACACTAGTTATTTTGTCGTGGGAACAAAAAAAAGGAAAAAGAAAAAAAAATACTGTTTTTCTATATTATTCTGATGAGTGATGAGTGGTGGTCCGCAGTCCGCACTCGCTGTAATATCGTTGCCCAAACTGATTTTGATGGGTACGCAACAGAAAAATTTGCTGGTCTTGCCATATTTGAGTGACTTTCTTGTTTCTTTTGCTATGTGAAACTATTTTCGTATTCAGCATAGAAACTCCTCGCCATGGCTTCGGCTTGTAGGAGCCACAGCCACATCTTGCACAATAGAATATCTTGTTGGTCTTGCCATATGTGACTTTCTTGTTTCTTTTGCCATGTTAAGCCATTTTTGAATTCAACATGGAAACCCCTTGCCACGGCTTCGGCTTGTAGCGGCAAATGGAGCTACATGGCTTCGGCTTGTAGTGGCAGATGGAGCCACACGGCTTCGGCGGCTTATAGTGGCAGATAGAGCCACACTATTTCGGCGGCTTGTAGCAGTAGATAGAGTCACACTGCTTTGGCTTGTATCGGTAGATAGAGCCGCACTATTTCGGCTTGTAGCGGCAAATGGAGCCACAATCGCATCTTGCACAAAAGAAAATCTTGATGGTCTTGCCATATGTGAGCGACTTTCTTGTTTCTTTTGCTATGTTATTAAGCCATTTTCGAATTCAGCATGGAAACCCCTCGCCACAGCTTTGGCTTGTAGCTGCAGCTGGAGCCACACGACTTCGGCTTTGTAGCGGCAGATGGAGCCACAATCATATCTTGCGCATCGGAAAATCTTGCTGGTTGCTAGTCTTGCTATATGCGAGCGATTCTTCTTTCTTTTGCTGTGTTATTAAGCCTTTTTCGAATTCAGCTTGAAAACCCCTCGCAATGGCTTCGGCTTGTAGCGGCAGATAGAGCCACAACCGCAGCAATTCATGGCTTGTAGCAACAAATGTAGCCACAACCGTAGCGTTAATTCATGGCTTGTAGCGGTAGATGGAGCCACAACCAAAGACAAAAAAGGCATTAATTCATGGCTTTGTAGCGGCAGATGGAGCCACGGCTGAAGACAAAAAAAGAAAAAAAATATTGTTTTTCTAGATTCTAATGAGTGATGAGTGGCTGTCCGCACTCGTCGGAATTGCGCAAGAGAAAATCTTACTGGCCTTGCCATATGCAAGCGACTTTCTTGTTTCTCTGTATGCGAGCGGTTTTCTTGTTTCTTTTGCTTTGTTGAGCCATTTCTGAATTCAACATGGAAACCACTCATCACGGCTTCGGCTTGTAGCGGCAGATGGAGCCATAGCCACCGCATCAATTCATGGCTTGTAGAGACAGATGGAGCTACAACCGCATCAAACCCTTGCCACAGTTTCGGCTTGTAGCGTCAGATGGAGCCACAACCGCCGCATCAATTCATGGCTTCTAGCGACAAATGGAGCCATAGCCGCATCAATTCATGGCTAAGATTGAAAACGGACGGGTTATATCTCGTCCTGACCCGTCCCGTTTTCTAAATTAATCCGTCCGTTTCTGTATTTTCAGAAAAATCCGAAAACTGGACTGGACACAGGTCGAGAGTTGGCGGGTGCGGGACGGAAATGGAAAAGGCTTGATCCCGCCCGTATTAACCTGTATTATACCCAGATTGTAAAATACGGGATAAGCCCAACATACAATATATCTGTGAGGCCCAAGGGCTAAAAAAAAGGCCCATCATATCCCTTCCTGCCGCTGCTTGCCTGCAGTGCGCTGTGAGCATGGGCTGCTGTCTGCTAGCTTGCTGCTTGCCTAGTGCTTGCTGCTTGATGATAGATTACATGACATGTTAACTTGATTGATGAATAATACCTGCACTTGCTTGATGAATAATACGTGCCCAAATTAAATACGTGTACTTGCATAGGCGCACTACACGTCTGATATGTAAACTTGATTGATAAATAATATGGCACCACTACAGCCCGGACGTCAGGAGAAATCGGATCCGTCGGACGCTCCATCTATCCACAAAAGTTATTTTCGTACGTGTGTCCTGTTAATTATTCGTATCCACAAAAAATATCTTCCTACATGTCCCGTTAATTATTCTTTTTAATTCTGACACCTAAACACTCAAATGATCGCATGTTCCACTTTTCCTACCTCCGCGAGGGGATGGCGTCATCGACCTCTCTCGTTAGACGTTACGTAGATTATATTTTATTTTGTTACCCAACTAACATTGCAACATCCAACTATGGGCCTTGTGCGGAAATAAAACACATGTACACATGAGACCACCGACCACCCGCGCCTTGTGCCTGCTCACGAAACACTTGCAACATGAAAAGCAATTTCTATAACATACGTCTAAAGTAAATGAAACATTTAGAAATTGCAACGTATGTGTATAGCCACTGCAATATATGCAACATCCAGATAAAAACACTTAAAACATATATCTGAAGTAAATGAAACATTCTGAATAGATACTTGCAATATACGTGTATAGCCATTGCAACATATGCAACATCTAGATCTACTTTTGCAACATCCGTATCGTGCACACAAGGACGACTTCGCCTACTCATTGCAACATGAAAGCACTTCCTGCAACATATGTCTGAAGTAGATGAAACATTTGGAACATACGCTTGCAACATATGCAACATTCAAATAAAATATTTGCAACATACGTTGAAGTAGATGAAATATTTTGAATATACACTTACAACATATGTGTATAGCTATTGCAACATATGCAACATCCAGATCTATTTTTTTGCAACATCCATATGGAACACTTGCAACATACATATGGAACATCTGAAACACATGACACATATGTTTATAACATACGCTTTTAGTGCAATATGGGCGGGCGGCGTGACGAACTGGCGCAATGGAGGCGGCCCTGCGAGATGGCAACAATAGGCGAGGCACGCAACTGCCGGGGCGAATCCACACTGGCCGGAGCGAGCAACGACGCAGACAGGCGGGGCGCGAGCGGCGCGGGCAGGGCGCAAGGAGCGGTCTGTCCGAACGGACGGACACCGCTTCGTAGCATTACCATTAAAGACAATGCATGATGAAATTTTGGTACAGTGTTGACTATAGTTAATCAGGCAAAATAAATTATTAAGCCGGCCACACAAATATTTTATATGTGGCTCTAATATATCAAGGCCCTACGAAAATGGTTACTACTTATGTTGACTATGCTAAGTTGACTCGTAATATGATCAGGCTCACGTATATCTATGGTCTATTATTATTTTTGGTCATTCAACACAGCTCTCCATGCATGTCGATTATGTCCTCTTCTAGTATACGTGCATGTCATGTATCCACGTTCTAAACATCTGATGAGGCCTCCGTACATACATGTACATACATGTTGTCTTACGTTGCGTCCATGGATCCGAGCCCACTAAGCAGCCGGTGCACCTGGAGCAACGGCACGAGCGGGGCGCAGAGCAGTCCGTCCAAACGCTCAAAACAAATAAACCCGATGGCCTGTGGTTTAAAAAAACACAGGCGCACGGAGCGGTCCTCTATCCGGACATTACCGTAAATAATAATGTATATTTTTGTGGGCGTGCCTAAGACCTGATTTTAGATAATAAATTCAACATGTAATCTAATCCCGATTTAAACATATTTGTTCATTTCCTTACCTCCGCATATTCTGATCCCGTTTCCAAATCCAGCTCTTCGGGACCGATCCTATTTCCGCCAAAAAAAAAATATAGAAACGGTCCGCCCGTTTCCATCCGTTTTGAACCCTATTCATGGCAGCCGCGTGGATCAGGTGTCTGAGTTGCCGCGGTTGCAATGGTTGTAAGAAATGCTACGGCCTACGGCCAAGCAAACAGCAGTTCCTGATCCAACACAACTGTTCACAGAGCACCGGTGGTGAGCTGCATCAGTACCAGCAAGATGCACTGGAAACTCCAAGAGCCGGCAATTTAACCAGCAAATGCACTGCTAATGATGATTAGGGGTAACATCAGATACGAGGGAACTCCAGCAAAAGGAAAAAAAAAGATGAACCATCAAACATGGTGGCAGCTTAGCAGGGTTTAGGCAAATTAAAAAGAGCACAAACTTATGCACAAATCTGTGGAACTATTTCTTTGCCCCGTGAGAGCTGATGCGCAGTCCAATTCAACAAATTGCGGGGTGGCTCATGATACACATGGTGCACGCTACAACAGTTGGAGCTTTTGCTAAACTGAACAATAACCAGCCCGGCGCATCAATCTTACTGTTGGGGGGGCATGTTGCTTCTTTTTGTTCCTCACACTGAACCAGATAGCCTACATTCAACCATAGATTTCATCAAAAGTTAGTTAACAATATGAAAGTCATAAGGCTAAGATATGTTCAGCTTGCCATGACAACTCTCGTGTGGTGTTACCTAACTAAAGATTGCAAGATCAGAGTGAGCTACCATCCGGATTTTGTCAGCCTACTCGTCCTCCTCCGACAATACACTCCAGATCATCCTGGAGACAAACAACCAAGTGGCAATTATTAGTTTCTCGTTTGGTAGATGCAGACTTGCAGTGACTATCAAATAATCGAGGTATCCATAGCGCACTTACCAGAACAAGGACAGGAAGAGGAGAACTATGAGACTAACTATCTTAAAAAGGCGGCGCTTCTTCTCACGGCCAAGTTGATTAAATATCTCTGTCACATCTACCAGATGTTGCCGCCGCTGGTACCTACAAAAGCCATAAAACATATAAACTTATCCATGACCAGTGCTGAAAGGAAACTAGAGTTGCTTGTTTCCAACTTTCCAAGTAGTTTAATTTTAATAACTAATTGATGGTTACTGTCTGAACAAGAAAAGGTTCTGAAAAGTGAAATTGGACAGCTTAGT